AAACAACCACACACACACCCAAAAAAGCCAAAACAAAAACAAAAACAAAAACATGGAGTTAAGAGAAAGGCATGTTTTTAAGTGGGATGTTTACAGTGTATACCTTAAAAAAAAAGTGTGCATTTACAAAGTTCTGCAGGTGACCCTGATGTATGGCTGGAGCTGACCTCTGCAAGTCTGGGTGGCCATAGTTGGTCTCATTTCCAAAATGTTTTCTCATTCCTCCTACAAACAAAAGTACTCAAACATCTGACATAAGAGGAAAGGACTTACCAGAGAAGCGTTGGTGTCTGGTGCCAGTGGGGCTGAAGCATTGAACACGGTTGTATTCACTGTGGATAAGCACATGACACAGGGCAGGGTCAGCAGCTGTGGGGCCAGGAGCTGCATTCCCAACCCCTTCCCATCTCCCTTCAGCTCCTCAGAGCCAATGCCTGGCTTCCATTGTGAGAGCAGCTCCCTCTCCACCTTCCTGACTTTGCCCCAGTTAGGGAAGGCCTGGTTGGACAGAGCCTAGGCCACAACTCTGACAGAGCAGCTGGGCCAGAACAGCACCTGCCTGATGACAAGAGCTTGTTTTAAAAATTGAAGCAGGGAGTCTGGGGTCACAACAAAGTGTTAAGACAAGCTGGCGGATAACATGCCTTGAGAATCCTCACTGGCCACTGGGCTGTTAGACTTAAAAATGTTCAAAGAACTTATTCTATGCCATGCTCTATGCCAAGCCCTTACATATATCCATGTATTTAATTCCCAAATCTTCACCAAATATGCCCACTTTACAGATGAGGTAACTGAGGCCCAGAGAGGTTATGTAATTCACCCAAGGTCACATAGCTCGTGCTTGGAGCCATGATCCCATCCCAGGAAGGCTGGTCCAGAGCCTATAAACTTCCCAGCTCTACAGAGTAAACTTCCCTGACCTGTTCACCTCCACAGATACATCCTTTCTCTTCCAGCCCTCCTTTTATTTTTTTTGCGATGGAGTCTTGCTCTCTTGCCTAGGCTAGAGTGCAGTGGTGTGATCTTGGCTCACTACAACCTCCACCTCCAGGTTCAAGTGATTCTCGTGCCTCAGCCTCCCAAGCAGCTGGGACTATAGGCATGTGCCACTGCACCTGGTTAATTTTTTATATTTTTAGTAGAGACAGGGTTTCACCATGTTGGGCAGGCTGGTCTTGAATTCCTGACCTCAAGTAATCTGCCCACCTGAGGCTCCCAAAGTGCTGGGATTACAGGCATGAGCCACTACGCCCGGCCCATATGTGCTTTTTCTTAAAAGTCAGCTAGTCCTGACAGAACTTGTTGCTTTGATATTATCTTTTCTAATCTGCCAAATGCAAGTTGAGGAAAGTTAAACCAAGGTCCAGGCCCTGAAGCAGAATCGGGAACCCAAATGTGCTGCTCTCAGCGGGTGTCTCTGCATCCCTTGCTGGGTACTTCCCTACCCTGGCCTCAGTGTTCCTAATTGTATGTGAATCACATGAGGGTCTACAGGGAGAGTTTCAAGGAATCCCAGTCGCTCATCTCTCCTTTCCATGTAGACCTTCTGCTCCCCTCTTCTGTGATCTGTCCTGCCTCCCCTGTTCCTCATTCACAGGGCCAGGCTCCACAGGGATGTGGCCACCTACAGGAAGCCAGGCTTTGAAGGCCTGCTGCCCTCTCTCTTCCTCCTGAACTGCAAGGTTGGAGGCAAAGGCCAGGCCTGCCTCACCGTCCTCCTCCAGTGAAGGCAGACCAAGTAGTCCCTCGGCAGCAGGTCTAGAGAGAGAGGGAGCGGGCCCACCAGCCAGCTTGCTGGCAATATGTCTGAAATGCAGTGTAAGCCTGACGTGGCTCCTGCTGGCTGTCCACAGTTGGTTAGAAACCCAGAAAGAAGAAGGGTATGTCTTGGGGCTTCTCCCAACCTCAAACAGGCTGTCCACAGGGCTGATAACGACTATAGGGCCCAGCTATGTTGCTCAGTCCCAGGCCAGCTGATGCTGAGTGGCTAAGGAATTTTGACTTGACCCAGGACAGAATATTCCTAGAAGCTCTACAAACCCAGAGGTTTGTTAGGATTGTTCTGAGAAAGGCTTCATTTATTAGAAACTGGGGTCATCTACTGCCTTTCCTCACATCAGTGACCAAAAGAACATGATGTACAATTAATGATGGAGACAGAGAAGCTGGGAAGGAAGGCTGACTCAGGACTTCTCGCTCAAATGCTAGAGAACTCCTGGCTGATGCTTGAGCCTGGGGAGTTCAGATGTCTTTTTCACTACCCAATGTCTTCGGACCACCTTTGACGTCTTCTGCTTATGCTTATCAATTCTTTTATATTGAAAACTTTGTAGGGTTTATCTGAAAGTCAGTTGAGATGAAGATGAAAGAAATATAACATGGAAAATTTCAGAAAGGGTCCAAGTATCAAACATTTTTAAATTCCAGTGTTTACAAAGTGGTACTCACTTGGGATTGAAAGCAGCCAAATCAGTGTGTGCAGCATTCATAAACAGAATACAAATAAATTACAATGGAAGCAAAAGCAAATACAAAGAGAGTGCCCCAAACAAGCTTTTATGATGAAGAGTGACAAAGAGTGAGAGTATACCATAGTAAGACTGGGCTTCGCAGTAAAACTAGGAATATGGGCTTGTTACTAAGTAGGTGGCCTGTAGACTGGGAAAGAAACCCTCCACAGTTCATCCCCCTCATCCCACTCTCCTAAATGTATAGAATTTTCCTTTCCATATTATCTTAATCAAAACTAACTTATCCTAGTTCTGTGAAGAAATTGAAATTTAATCTTATTGGGGTTTAGTGGCCAACAATGCCCCATTATTACTGATAGTTCAATAGAGCAACAGCTCTCAAACTTGAGAGTGCGTCAGAATCAATTGGAAGACTTAATATATGTCTAGTTGGATCCTACTCCAGAGTTTCTTTTTCCTCCCTTCTTCCCTTCCTTCCCCCCACCCCCCGAAATAGAGACAGGGTCTGGCTATGTTGTCCAGGCTGGTGTCAAACTCCTGGGTTCAAGCAATCCTCCTGTCTCAGCCTCCTGATTAGCTGGGACTACAGTTGTGCACCACTATGCCCAGCCAGAGTTTCTGATCAGCAGGTCTGGGGCAGGAGGCTAATAATTTGCATTTCTAGAAAGTTCCCTGATGCTGCTGGTCCAGGGACCACATTTTGAGAACCATGACAACAGCATGACCCCAAAGAATGAGGTAACATCAGGTACCTGGGCAAAGCCAGAGAGGAAGATATTTGGGAACAGGTGGCTTCATTATGTCACTCATAATGTACCTTATACACTCCTATGGCCCTTGTTCCTAGAGCAGCCCTGGGTTTGATTTTTCTTGAGGACAGATGATTCTCAGAATGGCCAAAGTGGCCAGGCCCAGTGGTTCACGCCTGTAATCCCAGCACTTTGGGAGGCCGAGGTGGGTGGATCACCTGATGTCAGGAGTTTGAGGCCAACCTGGCCAACATGGTGAAACCCCATCTCTACTAAAAGTACAAAAAAAAAAATTAGCCTGGCGTGGTGGCACATGCCCGTAGTCCCAGCTACTCAAGAGGCTGAGGCAGGAGAGCTGCTTGAACCCGGGAGGCAAAGGTTGCAGTGAGCCGAGACTGTGCAATTGCACTCCAGACTGGGCGACACAAGTGAGACTCCATTTCAAAAAAAAAAAAAAAAAAAAAAAGGTCAAAGCTCCTCATATAACCCTAGAATTTGGATCATTTCTAAAAGAGATCAAGGATGTGTGCTTCTAGAAGCTATATTTGTGTAAAACTTATGTCAATGCAACACCGAATCTGTAGTATAGAAGATACAAACACATGGGAAGGTCCTGATGGGGCTTCCCCACAGAGGCAGGATTTGTTCCAGGGTAGAATCTAAAGGGCCTGCCTGCAGGTAGGAGCTCCTCTGGGGAAGCAATATGCCTTGGCTCAGGATGAAGGGTAGCTTCACCTGTTATTAGATTTTAGTGGATTAACTCAAAATAATGACAAGAAAAAAGAAGTCTGGACTTCTTTACAAAATCAGTGCAGTCACAGAGGGAAGAGGGTATAATTAACACTAAGTTCCCAGAAGGCAGGACATCATTATCTTCCACAAGGCCAAAAGTAGGGTACACAATAATTGTGCAGCAAATATTTTTGATTGACTTATGATTGATTTTCTTTATACCCACAGTAATGTACTAAGGGGCTGAACAACCCACTATCCACTTATTTCCTTCAACTCAATTGGGGTATAGATTTGGAAACTCCACAGGAATCCCAGGAGACCAGCAGGGCCTGCATTGAAAGCCCTCTTTTACAGCCAGGGAAATGGAGGCTTGGCGTGACCTTGGGTGGTCTCTGAACCTCAGTTTGCTCTCTGTGAGTCTGGCCTCGGTGATTGGAGATGTGTGTATAGACCTCCTGCTCCTGCTCTGCAGCACCCTGGGCACTCTGGGCACATGCCACTGAAGGCTCTCAGGTGCATGATCGTGACTATGAAGGAGGCTCAGACTCTATGGGAAGCCTTAACTTATAGAGGACAGGTTTTTGGCCAGAAAGTAACTTCACAGGTGTGGCACTGGGTATTATCAGGTTGACTCCACCTATACAGGAATCCTTTTTACAATATCCTTGGCAGATGGACAACCAGACAGTGTCCAGGTAATCTACCAACCAAAGGGGCTGAGAACTCCCATGGTGGTAACTCCCATCACTGTAGGTTCTTTCTTAAATTCAGTCAGCATCTGGCTCCCTGGAGCTTCTGCTCTCTGTTCCTCATTCTGCTCTACATCCTGTGGTTTCAGAGGGTGAGCACAGCCCCTCTGTGACATGACAGTTCTTCTCTCATAACTCTCATGTCCCTAAGAGGCTGAATAAGCCCCAGTTATCCAGCTGTTCTCAGATGGCATGGTTGGCAGAGCCTCCACTCTGGACATGTTCCCATCTGTGTGGATGTCCATCCCTCAGGTGTGGTCTCACCTTACAAGGTATGTGACCACATGGGCAGCACTGTGTTGGGGACAGCTCATCATATCATGACTTGATGGAGCTGGGAGGAACTTCAGTCATCATCAGGTCTACCCCTGGCCTGGAGTAGGAACCCCTGGACAGGAGGAACTCCTCAGACATGTGGCCTCTACATTTCCCCACACCGAGACAAAGCATGCCTTACACCTTCTTGGGGTATACCTGTACCCTCATGATGATAATCCTGTAACTCTTATTAGAGCTACTATCCCCTTGGTTCCTTTGAAAAACTGGGTTCAAAACCTTGTATTTGCTCCCTTGGAACAGTAAGCCTTTGGCGGAACAGTAAGCCTTTGGCTGAACAGCCCCTCCCCTGCAGTAGGAGTAGAGAGCTGTGGTAAAGGGTCAGGGGACCAGAGTTGAGGGGGGTAGGTGAGGGCCCATGGCAAGTCTGGGGTTACTGGTCACCTGTGTCAGGCGCGACACACTCGCACTTGTAGGTTGTGATGAAGTTTGGCTTGAAGTCCACATTGATGGGATAGTACTTGAAGGCACCGATCATCTTCTTGATGGCATCATAGATAAAGATGAAGCTGATGAGGGTGGAGAAGCCCTCCTCAGTGAAGCGGGTGATATATTTGATGATAAAGCTGGCATCTGTGGCCACTAGGATAAGGCACTGGACAGCTGAGTGTAGGCCAATCCAGAGGCGGAACTCCATGTAGTCCAGGCCATTGCCTCTGGAAGACAGAGGGAAGGTGAGGGGCCTCCAGGCCAGGGCTCCTGGTTGTGCTTGGCTCTTCAGACCCACCCCTGCGTGGCTTATCTGTCTTCCTATGGCACAGATGCCCTTCCAGGGACTGTGAAAGACGGGACAGGAACAATTCTGGGGTGTAGCTGTCTATCTTTGGGATCACATGGGGGTCCAGTGTTTATAAGTAAAAAAAATTTTTGAAGATCTTATGGGGGAGGCAGGAAGGTGCTAAGACATCTCAGTGCTCACACAGTTGGTAAGACACCAGAGTGAGTGAAAAATGGAATTTTAGAAGAACAGGGCTGAGCAGCCCTTGGAAATGGTCTAGTCCCAACCCTCATGCTGTAGAGGAGGAAACTGAGCCTAGAGTAGTGACGGGAGCTGCCTGGGTCTGGGTGTAGCCTTCTGACCTATAGACCAAGACTCTTCATACACTATACTGCCTATCAAGTCACCACTGCTCACAAACTGAGTGGTATGAATTTTCTCCCCTTGTCATGGCTGGTCCCTATGGGCTGTGCCAGTACGCACTAAGATGTCTTAAAGGCAGGTGGCTGGCAGGAGTCAGGAGGGGTCACTGGGTAGCCCTTCCGATGGTTAAAGATGGCTTTGGCACCTCTGCACCACCACCTCCCCTTTGGGCCTATTCCCCTGCCCTGGTCTTGGCATACTACCGCAAGTGTGAGAGCAGGCACTAGGGACCAAGGGACACCTACTTGCTGAAGTCGAAGAGGAGTTTCTCAAAGATGAGGATGGGTCCCGTGCTGCTGAGAATGATGAGAGGCTGTCCCGAGAAGAGGCAGAACAAGGAGCCAGCCATGGCAGTGCCCAGGAAGCTCTCCATCACTCCCTGGGGGCACAAGGAATGTGTGGCTCAGCACAGGCAGGAGAAGGGGCCTCTCCACACAGGCTGCAGCCCAGTGATCTCTCCAAGGACCCAGGCCACAGTGTTCATCCTTCATTCTGGGCCCTTTCCTCCCTAAATCCTGTTCTCCATCTCCTACTCCCTCCACTACTTGCCAGCATGGCCAGTGTCACTCTCTTTAATTCCATCTGGATAAAGGTCCCATGTGAATTCCTTTTGGCACCCAGGGCCTAGAAAACAGTGGATGTGCTTGTCTCTGTGTCCAATCTACTTCCAGAAGACAGCCCATTTACCCATCTGATTATTCATTCATCCAAACATCTGTCTGGGGCTTTTAGAGGTCAGATCATTCATTCATTCTTTCAAAATCCATTGAGTGTCTGTTACGTACCAGACATTGTGCAAGGTATTAGAAACCCATCACTGAACAAGATAACACACCTTGATTCTAGTGGGAGATACGGGTAATTAACCAGGCAATTTCCATACAGCAGGGTTTCTCAATCTCACCACAACTGATATTTTGGACTAGATGATACTTTGTTGTGAAGGTCTGTCCTGTGTATTGTAACATATTTAGTAGTATCCACAGCCTCTACACATTAGATGCCAGTAGCAATCCTCCTCCCAGTTTTAACAATGAAAACTATGGCTAGATATTGTTAAATGTCTCCTGGGGTGAAAATTGTCCCTGTTGAGAGCCACTGCCAAGAGGTGTGCTAAGCTGGGACAGGTCTGGGGTGCCACAGGAGCAAGCAGTAGGGGTAAAAGGGTAGTCAGGAAGGCCTCCCTAGAAGTGGACAAGTACAAGCTGAGATCCAAAAAATGAGCAGAGAATTGGCCAGGGGAAGAGGGTTAAGTGAAGCAACAAGAAATGGTGTCCCAGAAAAAGGGAATACCATATAAAAGGTCTGGAGCTGAAAGACAGCATGTACTTGAAGAACCAAAAGATGATCAGGATTGATGGAAAACAATGCAGAATGGGTGGGTAGGGTAGGAATGCTGAGAAAGAGAATGCTGGGAGATGAGGTGTGAGAGCCAAATAGGGCCATGTGGCGAGGGCCACACGGGGAAGCTAGGATTTATAGGTCAAGGATAATGCTTAGTTCCTGGTGTAGACAGTTGGGTGAACCATGGTGTCACCTGCTATGCTGGGAAAGCCCAGGGAGCAGCAGGTCAGGAAGGAAGATAATGGATGCAATGTCAGCTGTGTGAACTGGGGTATCCTGAGGGGCAGCCATGTGGACACGACTAGGAGGTACCAGACAAATGGGTCTTCTCCTTGGTGCACTGAGCTTTCCAATGGCTCTACTTTGAAGGCCTCCACCAAAGAAGACCTTTGCCTAAGAGATTGGCGGGTGTTTCTGCTGAGCTGTTTTCCCCAGGGAGGCCTGAGTTGTTGTCATAGTAACAGCTTACCATCCTTCTAAAAATGTCTTAACTCCAAACTAAGAATTCAAGGTTGGTGTTTAAAAAGTGTGGGGAGGAGGCCACAATTAGCACTCCATTAACTGTCTGATTAAATTCACTCTAGTATCAGTAGGAAGAGTACCAAATAACACAGCAGATGATTCCCCTTAACAGTCTGACCTACTTAAAGCATCATTAAATTTGGTCTTTAGTAATGAGATTTAGTTTCAGATCTTTTAATACTGTAGTATTATCATTATTTGAAGGCTAAAGGGTTACAATAGTGATGGCCTCAACCTGGATGGTAGATGAAACCTTGGTTTTGGGAATTACAGGATGAAGCTACCTGCTGCCACCAGGTGGTGGCAGATCTTACTTTTACACTCAGGTGTGCAGCTCACACATACCTGATAATTGTCGGTAGCATCCCCCAGAAGTCCACCAAAGGTGATTGCGTTGGTGATACAGCCGAGGTAGATGAATAGGATGGCAGAGATGGACTGAATGTGGAAGCCATCATAGAAGTCACTTGGGAACCAGGGCAACTTCCTCTTGATATCCAGACACAGGCCACCGAAGAACCTGCTCAACACAGGCCAGGGGCTGTTTTCTCACCACTAACACCAGTGCAGGGGCAGGGCTATTTACAAGAACCTGCAGAGTCTGGGGTGAGGAAAGGAACTTGACCGGAGTGGATGGGGCAAAGATATTTCCACCAGAACATTTGGGGCCAGGGATGAATTCCTGTAGGACTGAGTTTGTGGTTGGCATCCCCCACACTAGGAAGGGTGGACACAGCAGGTTTTAGAGAGGGAAAGTCTGATGGGAATATGTCTCAAGGTAGACCTAACGTTCCATGGAGAATGGAAGCCCTGGGGTCCACAGATGGTGGTCCTCCTCACATCCCTGACCATCTGCAGGGTGCCTGCTCTTGGTGAATACAGGTGTGTTTAACTTTCAGTGATAGAAGCATCCCAGATTATAACAGACTCATTAAGAACAGATTCTAAACCTTATAACTGGTTGGTATTTGTTTTTTTTTTTTTAATTTTTCTATCTGGAACAGTTGAGTGGGAGATTTTAGGTTTGGAGACATTGTTTACTGGGATTGCTATTCCCATATCCCCCAGTGCAGTCCTTAGCATGGAGTAGAGTTTCTCAACCTCAGTTCTATTTTGGACTGGATACTTCTTTGCTGTAAGGGCTGTCCCATGCACTGCAGGATGTTTAGCAGCTGCCTGCTAGATGCCAGTAGCATCTCACCTCTCCAGTTGTGACAAACAAAAATGTCTCTGGACATTGCCAAATCCCCTGGACTCTGGGGTAGGGGGACTAAGGAGGGCCAAAGTTGAGAACCACTGGTATAAAGTCAAGGGCATTTAAAACATGACTTCATTCTCAAAGTCATGATTTACATGTAGATTTGCAAGGCCATGTCCTTTCCTAAATCTAGATCAACCTGAGTGGCTCCAAGAGCTGGAAAAAAAACCTAGGCCAAGACATATTTTCTTAAAAAAAAGAAAAGTTTTTGAATAGGTAAATTAGGTTTTTAAAAAAGGTACTTTTTGAATCGTGTCCTCCCAAAAGATATATATTAAGGCCCTAACATCTACGTAACATCTACACAGATGTAATCCAATTAAGACGAAGTCATTAGGGTGGGCCCTAATCCAATATGACTGGTGTCCTTATACAAAGAGGAACGTGCTCTGTGAAGACAGAGACACACAGAAGGCCATGTGGTAGAGAGGCAGAGCCGGGGGTGATGCAGCTGCCATCCAGGAACACCAAGGACTGCTGGCCACCACCAGAAGCCAGGAGGAGGCCAGGAAGGATTCCACCCAGAGCCTCAGGGAGCATGGTGGTCCTGCCGACCCCTGCTGTGGAACTCCTGGCCTCCAGAACTGCAGAGAGTAACTTTGTGGTTTTAAGCCGCCTAGTTTGTGGTACTTTGTTACAGCAGACCCAGGAAACAGGCACCAAAGGATGTCTAAGAGAAAAGTTTGGGTTCTTCTCTTGTACAGGGTCTCAAATTCCCTTCTCCTGAGGCAACCCTTTTTGGGGATCCATGATGGGGCTCAAGGGCTCTGGGAGGGAAAGAAGGCAGGGGTAACCTGAGGGGGTGCTATAGGCCGTGATTGGGAAAGATCCCTGGAGGGCAGCTGAGAAGGAGAGAAGTCTAAAGGACAGCAGGGTCACTGTGAGGCTGGGGTGGGCACCTTCCTGTCCAGATAAGCTCCTCCCCAATTTCGTGCACAGCTGGCATCTCTCCATCATCCCCGCTGCTCGTTCCGCCGGCCCCACCACCGCCGCCGGCCCCACCTCCGCCGCCACCACCACCACCTCCGTTGCCTCCTCCAGCAGCTCCGCTACCTCCTCCCACAGAGCCATTCATCTGGCCCAGCTCTGCTAGGGAGAACACAGATTTCCTGGAAGAGAAGGGGGATGAGGGAGAGGGGGACCCCAGAGCACCCCTCACCTCTCCAACCAAAATTATGAAATATCTTAGAAGACAGGCATAAATGCAGAAAATGATCTAACACTATCCACATACAGGTCACCTAGATTTTACAAATGTTCACATTTAGCCATATTTGCTTCTGATATAGCTTATTATTTTTATTTTTTTGAGATGGAGTCTTGCTCTGCCTTCCAGGCTGGAGTGCAGTGGCACCTTCTTGGCTCACTGCAACCTCTGCCTCCTGGGTTCAATTGACTCTCCTGCCTCAGCCTCCTGAGTAGCTGGGATTACAAACGCATGCCATCATGCCCGGCTAATTTTTGTATTTTTAGTAGAGATAAGGTTTCACCATTTTGGTCAGGCTGGTCTCAAACTCTTTTTTTTTTTTTTTTTTT